CTGCTCTCACATTTCTTCCCTCCCTCTTTAATCCCTCTTCTTCCCAGGTCCCAGCTGCTGCTGCACTCTGAGACCCATCTTCCCAGTGCTGCCACCACCTTTAGGGGTTTTCCCCTGCACAGTATGCCCAAATCCCTTCCACCATAAAAGCATCAGCCTGACTCTAAGAACCATGTAAATTCCCTTAAATTACCAACGTGCTGATACCTGAAATTGGTGAATTCCTCTGGAATTAACACCAGTAACAGGAAAATATCATCTGGAGAAGATTGAGCTCTCCTAGCAGGCTTCTGACATGTCTATTCCCCACCCTCACTCTGTCACTGACATATTTTCTGAAAAATACTTTTGCCAGGATTTTTCTCCTGAGAAGCTGAAACCCTCAGAAAAGAAATGTAAACTATAACTATCTGATGGCTGTGGGATGTGGTCTGGAGATGGTTTACCAACAGGTGCATCTTTGATTGGTCTCACGTAGATTGTTTCTACTTGATGACCAATCACAGGTCCAGCTGTGTTGGGACTTTGGTCAGTCACAAAATTTTATTATTCATTCTTTTCTAGCTTTCTGATGTCGCCTTTCTCTTTTCCTTAGTATAGTTTTAGTATATGATTTTCTTTTAATATAATGTAATCATAAAATAATAAATCAGCCTTCTGAAGAGTCAAGATTCCCATCTCTTCCCTCATCCTGGGGACCCTCAAACACCACCACACTCACTCCTGTCTCCTGTGTTACTTTAGATGATGGTGATGGACACGTCCGGCAGGCCAGGGACATCGCCCACCACCCTCCAGTGAGCCATGGTGAGTCTCTGCATCTCCTGGGGGCTTCCACCATCACTGGGCTCTCCAAGAGCTCTCAGACAACTCTCCCATGTCTTACACCTGCACTGCCAGGAATATGTTGATTTTCTGATGGGCTGCAGCCACAACCTCAGGGGACTCTGCTGCCGGCTGTGTCCTGGGCTCAGTACTTGATGAGGGGCTTTTGCATGGGGAATTTCCCACATAAAGGTCCAAACTGGAAAGTGATGCCTCATTACTGGGAATTGGTGATTAGTCACTTCCTATTTTCAGTACACAGTTGGATGTGACAGAATTACTGAGCTGGCTGGGTCAACATTAACCCCTAAGGCCAAAGACAGGTCCTACCTGGGTGGGGACAGCTGGTGACAGAGGTACTGGAAGTGGAGCAAATTCCTTCCCAGCAGTGTGTAGGTACACTCAGCTGTTTGTTTATGAGGTGCAGACACTCTGGGGCATGGAAAGGCCATAATCAAATCCAACAAGTCAGGAAGTCTCCAAAGAGCTACTTGGGTAGGGCCAAAGAACAACAATGGCTTTGCCCTGTTGAGGTCCCAAGGGCTGATTTAATTGTTAGAGATGTGGATGTGACAGCCACCCTCTCTCTGGGGCAAAGCACTAAACCTCTTGTGCTGTACCAGCAAGTGACTTTGTCCCCCAGATTTGCATTTGTCTGTGGTGATGCATCATCTGCACGACACAGGCAAATCACTGAGGCTCAGCCCAGCCTGCGTGGGGGTCCCTGGGTGACAGAGATCCTGGCTTGGTCTCACCAGACATTTTCATCAGTTTGAATCCTGTCTTAGGAAGATGTGAAGCTCAACTCTTGTGATATTCACATACTCTTTGAACAGAGAGAGACATAATTCTGTCTCCCAGGATTTTTCCTGGGGAAGGTAGTGAGAAAGCCCAGAGAGAGAAGGGAATTAACACAATCCTTATCTCTGCTTGCTGCGCCTGTTGTTTGGCACATGTGGGATGTGCTATGGAGATTGTTTACTGAAAGGGATTTGTTAATTGGACTTTGCTGATGGTTGTTTGGACTGTGAGACCAATTGGATCAAAGCTGTGTCATAACTGAAAGGGTCATGGGTTTTTCTTTTGTGTAGTATAGTGTAGTACAGAGTATAGTATAATATAGTAATAATATAATATAGTAATATTGTATTATATTACTATAATATAATATTACTATAATATAATATTACTATATTATATTATTACTATATTATTACTATAATATAATATAATGTAATGTAATATAATATAATATGTATCATTATATATTATATTATGTTAATTATAATATAATATATAATAATATAATATTATTCTATATAATAACATCATATAGTGTAATATAATACAGCTTAATAAGGCATTTGTTCAACCTTCTGAATCATTGGAGTCAGAGCACATTACTCCTGCATTGAGGGTGCCCTGATTTGATAAAGTCTTACATTGACCATGCAAGAGTTTATCAAATCATTGATCATGTCATATTTTTATTTACTCCTGTGAGCACATGGCAGGAATACAGCCTAGGAATGTGTGTGCAAAAGGATTCAGACACAAAAGAACACCCCACTCTCAGGGGCATTTAATAACCAGCTCTTGTTTCCAGCGTCAGGGTGGCCCAAGGACTGCAGTGAGATCCCCCGGGGAAGCCACAGCGGCGTGTACATCATCCAGCCCAAAGGGCTGCACCACCTGGTGGTGTACTGCGAGATGAACGTGACCCACGGGGGCTGGACCGTCATCCAGAGGAACCAGAGGGACACCCCTGTCACCTGGGCCGAGGCCTGGAGCACCTACAAGTTCGGCTTCGGGAACGTGCGCACCGAGTACTGGCTGGGCACCGAGTACATCCACCAGATTGCCAAGCAGAAGGTCTACCAGGTCAGGTTTGTCATCCAGGACTCTGCAGACAACCTCAGCTTCGCAGACTACAACCTGTTCAGCGTGGAGGACGAGGAGCACGGCTACCGCCTGAGGCTGGGCTCCTACAACGGCACAGCCGGGGATGCCATGACCTCAGACAATCCCAACAACATGCACGACAACATGAAATTCTCCACAAAGGACCAGGACCAGGACACTTACAGTAAGAACTGTGCCTACAGCTATGAGGGAGGGTGGTGGTACTCATCCTGTTACTCCGTGCGGCTGAATTACAAGGGGGGCCTGACATGGGGCAACCTGTGCAAGGGGAACTGCAAATCCTCTCTTATCCTCATTAAACCAGCTTCTTATTGTTAGTGCTTCCTCCTCCTCCTCCTGTCCACAGTGGACACTCTGCAAAGGCTCTGCACGGCCAAAGAGTGTGAGCCTCTCTGGAGCAGAGCGAGGAGCACAAGGGTAGCAGGGCTTTAATGAAATGCCACTTTACAGTCCCCCTCTCCAATTGCAGACTCCCCTCTGCTCAGCTCCATTCCCTGTGCTTGCCAATGATTCCTTGTTATTATGGTCATAATCAAGAATTAAAAAAACACTGATGAAATTTGTGGATTCCACATGTACCTTCCCTGTAGGAGGAAAACACACAGCCCTGGAGTTACATCAGAGTTTCCTTGCTGTCTCCAGAACTCACAGAAAGCAATGCCCCACATTCCATGTACTCTGAGCCTCTCTGCAGTGTTTGATAAGGCATCCAATAAACATGCTTGCTTGAGCTCATTCTTCAGTAATGACATCTGTTCTGTACCTCTGATCTTCTCCCCTGAGACCCAAGAAATCCCATGTCAGGAGTCAGAACTGGAGTCTTGAGGTTTATCATAGAATCACAGCCTGGTTTGGGTTGGAAGGGACCTTAAAACCCATCTCATTCCAAACCCCCTGCCATGGGTAGGGGCACCTTCCACTAAACCAGGTTACTCAGCCTGGAGAGAGAAAGCCTTGAATGTTTCTCAGGGATGTAAGAAAATTAAACCCAGTTACACTGTGATAAAGGCCCTGTGATCTGCACAGCATAGGGAGGGGATCCACACAGCAGAGCAGCTCCAGGATGGATTTGTGTTGGCTGGAAGACCAGCTGTAGTGTGCCAGGGTCAGAAGCTGGAAGAGAAAGGAGACATGGCTGTTAAAGGGGTCCTGGAATTTTTCTTCTAGGTTTCTAAATACCTGCAAACATTTAGTGACCCTGTGGCAGCAGTTCCTGGTCCCAGTAGGGCAGCTTTCCTTAGGGGACAAAGGGGCTGCACAGACATGCCATGACAGGGTGACCCAGGGACAGGGTGATACCGTGACAGGGCGTCCCAGTGATACGGTGCCCCAGGGACAGGGTGTCCTGATGTCAGGGTGTGCCAGTGACAGGGTGCCACAGGGACAGGGTGCCACAGGGACAGAGTGTCCCAGGGACAGGGTGTCCCACAGCTCCCACCTCTCCTGAGCCAGTGGCTAACAGGGCACCAGGCTGTCCCAGGCTGTCCCAGGGGGTGCAGGGCAGCGAGGAGTGAAACCGCGGTGGCGGCAGGAGGGACTCGGTGTGCGGGACGTGCCCAGAGGGCTGCGGGTACACAGCGGGGAGCACGGGGTGTGCACTGAGGGTGCAGGGTGCCCAGAGCAGGGCGCAGGGTGTGCACAGCCGAGAGGGAGCAGGGTGCTCACAGGGGGTACAGGGTGCCCAGAATGGGGTGCAGGATCCGTGCAGTGGGGAGCAGGGTGTGCACAGCGGGATTGCAGGTTGCCCAGAACGGACGCAGGATGTGCACAGCCGAGAGGGAGCAGGGTGCTCACAGGGGGTACAGGGTGCCCAGAATGGGGTGCAGGATCCGTGCAGCGGGGAGCAGGGTGCGCACAGAGGGCTCGGGTTGCGCGCAGCGAGTGCAGGGTGCGCGGAGCGAGAGCAGCGCCCGTGTCCCCGGCGGGAGCCCTGCGGGATCGGTGCGGGAGCGGTGCGGGATCGGTGCGGGATCGGTGCGGTGCGGGATCTCTGCGGTGCAGGAGCCCTGCGGGAGCGGTGCGGGATCTCTGCGGTGCAGGAGCGGTGCGGGATCGGTGCGGTGCGGGATCTCTGCGGTGCAGGAGCGCTGCGGGATCGGTGCGGTGCGGGATCTCTGCGGTGCAGGAGCGCTGCGGGATCGCTCCGCGCTCCGCTGCGGCTCCTTTAAGACCGGCGGGGGCGGCGGGCGCGGGGCGGCGCGCGCGGCTCCCGGCGGCGCGGGCGGGGGTCCCGGTGCCGGTGCCGGTGCCGGTGCCGATCCCGGCCCATGTCCCGGCCCGCGGCGCCGCCCGGCTCCCCGCGCCGCCTCGGGGCGCTGAGCACGGCGCAGCTCCGGGCGCTGCTGCAGGACGAGCCGCGGCTGCAGCGCGCCGCCCGCCTCTGCAGGAAGGTACGGCCGGGGCCGGGGGGCCGGGGGCCGCTGTCCCGCCGCCGGCGGGGTCCAGCTGTGCGCCACTCGCTCCTCCGGGGCTGGCCCGGTGCGCAGGGCGGAGCCGCCCGCGGCCCGGGGCTGGCACTGCGGGGCCGGGGACCTCCCGCCGGGCCCATCGCCCGCTGCCCTCATCCTGACACCCGTAATCCCGGGGCTCCGGAGGAGCCGCAGAGCCACCGGCGGGGCGGGGGAGCCTCCGCCCGGGCGTCCCGACCGCGGCTGCGCGGGGCTCCCGGTGCGAAACCTCGGGCCACCAAAGCCAGGGCCACCAAAGCCAGGGCCACCAAAGCCAGGGCCACCAAGGCCCGTCCGCTGCCCCCGCATCCCGAGATGTGCCGAGGCCCCGGCCCTTCGCCCGCCCTCCAGCCCGGTCTCGTTTTCCGCAGCCGGGATGAGCCCCGCGCACTCCCGGCTGCGCTGCGGAATCGGGCGCGGGTTATTGTGGAATCGCCCTCGGCCCCATTCCCTGGGTGGCCCCGAGTGCGGGCGGGGTGTGCGCAGCCAGGGGAGGGTGCGTGTCCCTTCCGTGACATCCTTGTCCTCTGCCGAGCGCTTTCCCTGCGGAGATTGCCGCGGTCGGGTTTAGCCTGGAGGCTGCGTAGCCCGGCTGCAGCCGCTGCATTCCCGCGGGATGCGCCCCCTTCCCAGGCAAAGCAGAGGATGGAGTCACTGCAGAAAAAGGGGGTTCAGCCCCGGACGGGCACTGCCCCCCGCCCAGCAAGGTGCTGGATCTGACTGGTTCTGCCCATGTCTCTCATTGCTGACACACACGGCCCCAATCCCATTCCCACAGTTCCAGAGTCTCCAGCTGGAGCGGGAAATGTGTTTGGCTTCAAATTGCACCCAGGCCAAGGTGAATCTGTCCCTGCGCCCACGGCTGGAGGATGGGAAGGCTTCCCTGGCAATCAAGTACCAGGAGCTGCAGGAGATCCGAGAGGCCTGCTGGGACAAGCAGCAGCGCCTGGGTGAGTGGGGAGCAGCCCATGGGCTGAGGCACATCCACAGCAACCCCTGTTACTATGAGGCTCCAGGTGGGCTCAGCATTCTTGACCCTACCCCAGGGAGATGGTTCAGCCATGATCAGGAGTGGTGGGGGATGATGCTCCCTGTGACACAGCACATCCTTAGCTGGGACCAGCCATGGAATCACAGAATCATTTGGGTTGGAAGGCACCTTAAAGATCATCTCATTCCATCCTCTGCTGTGGGCAGGGACACCTTCCCTAGAGCAGGTTGCTCCAAGTCCAATCTGGCCCTGAACAATTACAAGGATGAGGCATCCACAGATTCTCTGGGCAACCTGTGGGATGGAAGCCTTGGTGTGCAGGTGGCTCCAGGGGTGTGTTTGGGGGGGTTTCAGTGCAAGGAGGGGGGCAGTGGATGCTTGAGGATGGGAAATTCAGCACCCCCAGCAGAGGGGGTATCCAGGGGAAGGTTGGCAGCCCCATCCCCTTGTGACACACAGAGGTTTACCTGGAGAAGTGGAGCCCACAGAGCGCCCTGGGCCAGCTCCAAGCCAGGCTTGATGCCTCGGAAGCAGAGTCAGAGGTGAGTTATTGAGACCCCTGTGCTGTCATCCCTTCCTTACCAGGGCCACGGGGGCCTCTCCATGCCCTCCCATGTGCCAGGGCCTGCAGAAGAGCCCAGGCTCCAAGGGGTGCTGTCCCACTGCCCATCCCACAGGCCCAGATAAAGCAGTTCCTGGCCCAGGAGCTGCCCCTCGAGTCCTTCCTGGAGTCCTTCTGCCAGAGCCGCACACGCTCCCACGTCTGCCGGACCCAGCTGGAGAAGCTGCAGGAGCTGCTGCAGAAGGAGCAGGTGCAGAAGGAGCAGGTGGGCAGGAAGGACCCTGCGGGGTGCCCAGGTGCCCCATCTAGCATGGCACCAGCCCGCCTTGCCCCCTTGCAGAGCGGAGCAGCCCCCAAAGCCTTTGATCTATCCTACGGCTTTGTGCCTGCCGTCCTCACCCCCTCGGAGGCCGCCGCGCCCTTTCCCGTGCCGGCTGCACCTCCCAAGCACCATCTCCCAGCCCTGGCACAGCAGCCAGCATCTCCCTGCTCCGAGGTGCCCGGCCTGGGCTCTCCCCTGCGCCCCGTCGGACCCGTGCCCGTGCTCAGCGCCCAGCCCCGGGAGCAGGAGCCGCCGCACCGGTAGCGGGGCACGGTGGGGATGGCCCCGCTCCTGCCCCTGCCGGGGCCGGGCAGCAGCACCGAGGGCAGGAACAGGAGGGCTGGGGGTGCTGTGGGCACAGCTCCGAAGGGGCTGTGGGGTGGCACAGGGGGGAGCTCACAGAGGGATGGAGGTGCGGGGTTGGGGCAGAGGGTCCAGCATTGGGGAGGTGCCGGGGGGAGGGCTCTGCATCCACAGCAGGAGGAATGGGACAGGAACTGGGGGTGGGTGGCTTGTAGGGGTGTCAGTGGGCTTAGCTGGGAGGGATAGCAGGGAAAAGGCACAGGAGCACTGGGTGTGCCACATGCTTCCTAAATAAAGCCTCTTTCCATGCTCTGTGTGTGCTCTTTCCGTGCTCTGCCCCTTGCTCTGGCTATGAACAGCAGGATGAGACAGGAAAGGGTTTCCAGGGGGCACTTGCCAGGCTTGGAGGTGACTGGCAGCCAAGGAGAGCCCTCCAGCCTGAGGAGCCCCCAGAGCTTTCCTTGGCACTTGGCTCAGGACATCACTGCCCTGGGGCAGTTGAGAGCTCCTGCAAGGGGTGCAGAGCCTGCCATGAGTGTGTGCTTCCCTCAGGAGAGGTGCCAAGGACCAGTTTGGCCCTGCACGTGGGGAAGGTGCCCAGAGATGCCTCGTGCCAGCAGCAAAGCCCTCACCCCATGGAGGGTTATACCCCGTGGCCAGCTTGGGCTTGCTTGTGGTGATGTTTGCAGGGGTCCCAGGATGAGGGAAGAGATGAGAATGTTGACTCCATGTTTCAGAAGGCTGATTTATTATTTTATTATATATTATATTAAAAGAAAATTATATATTAAAACTATACTAAAAGAATAGAAGAAAGGATTTCATCAGAAGGCTAGCAAAGGAAGGAAAGGAATGGAATCTTGTGGCTGACCAGAGAGTCTGAGACAGCTGGACTGTGATTGGCCATTAATTACAAACAACCACATGAGATCAAGCACAGATGCACCTCTTGCCTTCCACAGCAGCAAATAATTATTGTTTACATTTCGTTTCTGAGGCCTCTCAGCTTCTCAGGAGAAAAATCTTGTCAAAAGGATTTTTCATAAAATATGTCCGTGACACTTGCTCACAGCTTGGCAGCCACTGCTCACATCAGCCTGAACTTGTGTGGGATCTCATCCTTTTCCCATCCCAGCTCAAGGGATGAGATGTGCCTTTCCCATCCCCTCAGGGGCCACTGTGCCCTTTGTCATTGCTCACCCACCTCCCCCATCCCACCAGCCCTCACTGCAAAGAGTGACAGGAGTCCTGAGCTCTCAGCCTGTTCTACCCCAGGCCCTTCAGTTCCTTTCCTTGGGATCACACAGTGGATGGTGAGTGCAGGGCTGCTGCTCCCCATCCCCCAGGGTGTTCCCCATCCCCTGGTTCCTCCAGCTGCAGCCTCCTGGTGTTTGTTTCCTGCTGTGGCATGTCCATTGTGCTGGATTTAGCTTTTGGGTTGGTTTCAGACTCTTCTTGTCTGGCTCTGTAGAATTCTTTTCCTCTTTCCCAGCTGCCTGCCCAAACTGCATCTTGCCCCTGCTATGCAGACTGCTTGGAAATCATCCCAAGCAGCAGAAGGCCCTGGCTCAGGCCACAAACCACCCCAAAATACAGGTCATTAGCTTGCAGTGTCTGATCACCCTCCCCTACTGAGGCTACCTGGCCTTATGCCAAACATCAGCCCTCATTTATGGCTAATATTTCATTATTACCAGTTAAAGCAGCTTTAAAACTGGGATAAATAGGGGACTGTGCCTTTATTGGCATGTGAGGAGGTGGTAGTCACTGCAATATTTGGAGTTTCACAAAGCACCTGCTGCTTTCCTGAGTCCCACTTTGAGCTCAGCCTGGCAGTGAAAGGCCTGTTTGCCAGCCAGGCTCTGTGCTCACCAGGCAGTGCTGGTGGGCTGCCACTGCCCTGCCACAGGGGACCAGGCACAGCACTGAGGCAGGAGATGGTGCACGAGCAGCAAAACCACCCAAAAACTATCCAGGCCCTCCAGTGCATCTCCCCAGGCAGTGCAGCCCCAGGCTGCCAGGGTGGCTCTGCCACCAGCTCCAGGACAAACATCCCTGCTCCCTTACAGCTCCTGAGTCACCCCAGTGGCCCCATGAGTGGGGACTCTCAGGGTGAGGAGCTGCCCCTGCAGCCTGGGCAAGGTGAGTGTGTCCATGAGAGCTGCAGCACAAGAAGTGACAGCCTGAGCCCCAAGGAAAGCTGTGCTGCCATGGTCTGTCTGTCTGTCTGTCAGTCCACAGGAGCCCTGCAGCACCCCAGGCAAGTTCAGGAAGCACTGGGCAGGCCCTCACTACCCCATGGTCCTGCTGGGCTGGCCACCACCCCCCTTGAGGGTGGAGAGCCTTGGGAAGCTTTGGGAAGGGGCCAAGCCAGGTGAGCCCCTGCCCTGGGGAGGTTCCTGCCACCCTGCAGCTAGAACTGTCCAGTTTGGGGCTGGCCACCCCAGCTGTGGTGATCCTGGCAGGGGGTGCACCCTGTACCCCTGGGGATTGAGGGGTTTCTGCCCACTGCCACCAACAGCTCCAGGCCTGCACAGCCAGCAGGGACTGGGGACACGGGGCAGACAGGGACACTGGCTCACAGGCAGGGGCTGGCAGTGGACAGGGTGACCCCTCTGCCCCTCTGCCTGCCCTGTGCCTCTCCCTGCCCTGCAGGATGGAGTCAAGGAGGGTAAAGGTGCTGCTGCTCACCCTGGGGGGGGGGGGAGGAGGAGGAGTTGCCCCTGGGTGTGCTCCTGCATTCATTGCTGCTGGGCCAGCCCAGCCCAGCCCCCCTGGCAGCTGGGGTGCAGCCAGAGCTGGGCAGGGAGCTGGGGGTGCCCCCCACCCCTGGCCCCAGGCTGGATAAGGAGCAGCCCCAGCCCAGGAGAGCCGGAACAGCTGGGAGAAGAGGGGTGCCCCCCAGTGCCCCCAGAGCCACAGCCCCAGACTGAGGGGTGCCAAAGGGGTACAAACCTGGACTAGGACCAGCCAGGAAGGGGGTGGCAGGGTGCCCCAGCTGGGGCCCCAGGAGCAGGCACGGGGCTGTTAATTGTCTATTAACAATTAACTCTATTAACCGAGGAATGGCCTCAGGGGATGCTGCTGAAGGGAGGGGGAGCTGCCCCCATCCTCGGGTGCTGCCAACCATGGCAGCCCTTCCCTGGAGCCACCAGCAGCAGCCCTGGGCTGCAGAGCTCTGCCCACACAGAGGGCTGGGGCTGTCCCAGGGGCTGTCCCCTCACCCCCAGCCCTGCCAGGGGGTGGGAGGAGGCTGATGGCCTCCCCTCACTGCTGCTCAGGGCTCTGCTCCCCAGCCTGCAGCTCCCTGCTCCTGCCCCTCACCAGCAAAGATCTGCCAGCAGCCAGGTTTGACCCCTTCCTTCCCAAAGAGCAGCCCAGCTCCAGGAGGAGGCCCTGAGACCCCACACTCCCAAGCACCCAGCAGCTATGGGGGCAGCCCAGCAACCCAAACCTGCAGTTATGGGGATGTCAGCCCATGAAAAGGGGCTGGGGCAGGGGTGGGGAGTGGGGTCTGCACTGAGCTTGGAGGGCCTCAGCACTGGGGCCATCAGGCTCCATCCAGCTTGTTTAGATTTCCCTGGAGCCTCTGATCTCCTTAGCTTATCACACATCCAATCCCCATCTGTTAACTACTCAGATTTTGGTGCTTCCCTTTGTCTGCTGTCAGTGATTTAAGGGTGGGAATGAGCAACAGCAAAACAAGCCCTGGGGTGAAGGTGCAGGGCAGAGCAGTCCAGGCCTGGGTGGGTGGGCATGGGATGATGGCTGAGGCCCCACCAGCAACTCACCCTGGGACAAATGTCACCCTTTTGGTGACACACAGCTGGCAAAACCTGGTGCAAAGGACAAGCATCCAACATGGACACATACATCACTTGCAGCAAATGAAATAGGGAGGCACAGGGAGAGGAAGTGAGGGGTAGGATGTGCTAGAATATCTGTAAAAATGGCCCCAGTGAGCTGGAGACTGAGGAGGAAGAAATCCCTGCTGTGAACATCACACTCCTCCCAGCAAAAGCCTCGGGATGCTCGTGGTGAAGTCCCCAGCTGAAACTGCCACCTCACACGGGCCAGGAGGGGCTGTGGAGAGCTCAGCTGCTGCTGCAGCCTGCTCCTGAGCTGTGCTGCAGGGACTGGACACATCCCCAAGGCAGGAAAAGGACCTGGGGGAGTTCACAGCTGCTCCCTGCCATGACCCTGCTGATGGCTGCCTTGCCCCAGCTGCAGGAAGGGGGCTCCTGTTCTCACAGGAACAACCCTGTGTGTGTCAATGTCCCCAGGGATGCATCCTGGCTCCTGAGATGTAAAGGCCACAGGGAATTACTGAGCTTTATCCTGTTTTATCTTCCTTTATCCTTCCTTCCATCTTTATCCTATCCTTTATCTTCCAGCCCATTACAGCTCACAGCCCTGGCACCATCCACCCCTGGCACCCTCACAGGCTGTGCTCAGCTCTCCTGGCAGCTCTCCATCAAGGAAACAACTGGAGAACAGCAAGAATGCCATGACATTGTTGACACAAGGAGAAAAAGAGGCAGAACAGTGGCATGCTGGGAGCTGGGAGGCAAGGCTGGGCATTTGGACCAGCTCCAGCCACTTGGTGCCCAAGCTGCTGAAATCCTTCCCAGAGCAGAGGAGCAGTCAGGCCTGACAGGGCAAAGGTGACACTGCAGAGTTCAGGGCACCCTCCTCTGTCCAGGCAGCAGAGCTCAGGGGATGTCACCAGGGCACAGCCACCCCTGGGTGTCACCCAGGCAGCACAGAACAGCACCTCCAGAGGGGCCACCCTGCCCTGCTGACTGCAGGCTGCATGCCCACCCTTCCCAGCAAGGCAGACAGAGCTCCCCTCCCTGGCCTCTTCTTCACTGGCTGAAGTCAGGGTGTGAAACTCCTGCCTGCCCCTTGTCACAGACATCTTTTCATTAAAAATCCTTTCCTTGGGATTTTTCCTCCTGAGAAGCTGAGAGGCCTCAGGAACAAAATGTAACCAATGGTTATCTGCTGCTGTGGAATGCAACAGGTGCATCTGGGATTGGGCTCATGGGGTTGTTTCTAATTAATGGCCAATCACAGTCAGCTGGCTCAGACAGAGTCTGAGACACAAACCTTTGTTATCATTCCTTGTTTTTCTATTCTTAGCCAGCCTTCTGATGAAATCCTTTCTTCTATTCTTTTAGTATGGTTTTAATGTAATATGTATATTTTTTAATGTAATATATATATATTTAATGTAATATATATAAAATAATAAATCAGCCTTCTGAAACATGGAGTCAGATCCTCATCTCTTCCCTCAACCTGAGACCCCTGTGAACACGGTCACAGCCCTTCACCCCTGGTTTCCAGAAATTGCAAGGAGTATTTACCACCCAGGCCCACCACAAGAAAGATGTGTCATTTTGTCACCAATTTGTGGCTGGATGTCTTTAATCTTCAAGATACATCACAGAGACCTGAGGAGGAAGAGAAGAGCCAGCAGCAGGAACTCTAAACCCCCTGTTTGGGAGGGAGCCAGAGGAGTGCCATGGACACTGCTGGCTTTTCCAGCCTGCAGAGTAATGCTTCCTGCCAAATGCTGCCCAAAAAGCTGCCTCTGATCTTTTTAATGATTTGTTTACAGAATGAAGGTGAGCATGAAAATGCATCAGCAGGTGCCAGAGCCCCAACTCCAGAGAGTTCCCTTTAGCAGGGCACACCAGGCTCCTGTGTCCCACTGTGACATCCCAGTGCTGTGATCCCAGTGAAGGGACAGACTGACACCAGGGAGGACCCTGGAAAGCGTCTGTCCCTTTCTGGAGGGGGCACAAGCTGCTGAGAGCAGGCAGGGAGCAATGCTGAGCAATCCTGCACAGGCTGGAGAGGGGCCAAGGGCCAGTTTGGCCCTGCACATGGGGAAGCTTCTGGTGCCTCGTGCCAGCAGCAAAGCCCTCACCCCATGGAGGGTTACACCCTGTGGCCAGCTGGGCTTGCTCACAGCTTGGCAGCCACTGCTCACATCAGCCTGAACTTGTGTGGGATCTCATCCTTTTCCCATCCCAGCTCAAGGGATGAGATGTGCCTTTCCCATCCCCTCAGGGGCCACTGTGCCCTTTGTCATTCCTCACCCACCTCCCCCATCCCACCAGCCCTCACTGCAAAGAGTGGCAGGAGTCCTGAGCTCTCAGCCTGCTCCACCCCAGGCCCTTCTGTTCCTTTCCTTGGGATCACACAGTGGATGGTGAGTGCAGGGCTGCTGCTCCCCATCCCCCAAGGTGTTCCCCATCCCCTGGTTCCTCCAGCTGCAGCCTCCTGGTGTTTGTTTCCTGCTGTGGCATGTCCATTGTGCTGGATTTAGCTTTTGGGTTGGTTTCAGACTCTTCTTGTCTGGCTCTGTAGGATTCTTTTCCTCCTTTCCCACTGCCTGCCCAACCTGCATCTTGCTCCTGGGTGTCCCTGCTGTGCCAGGGCCCCAGGCTCTGAGCAGGATCACAGAAATGCACGCTGCAGACACAGGGCATCCATTCACTTGTGACATTCTTGTGCTGGGACAAAACACAACCCAGGCTCTGGACAAGGCTTGGGCTCCTGCTCACCCCACTGACAGCAAACCCAGTGTCCCACACAGTCCTTGACACACTCAAGCCATGGCTAGGAAGCTTCTCTCCCTCCAGGCAGCAGCAGCATAGCACAGGTGAACCTTCACCCAAGGAGAAAGAAAAGGTTCTGAGAAATACAATCTTCAGTTCTTAAAACACTTCAGTATTTAAATAGGCAAATACTCTTGTGCAAATGATGCTCAGACACGTGTAAGACACAGAGAACAGCACTGGGTGCTCTCAGGTGCACCACAGCCAAAATCCTCACGGGGAGGGGTGGTGTGAAGCTCCTGGCAGGCCCCAGACAGGACAGAGGACTGCAGACACCAAAGTGCTGTCACACAGCTTGAGGCAGTGTCACACACTGACCAGGCCATGGGCTCAGGTTTCATTTTTCAGGTCTGATCTCAGCCTCCTGTACCTGCCATTCTCACAGGGTGGTGCAGCTGGGCCATCAGGAGCTCCAGAGATGTGGCACCAGCAGGTGTGACAGCACAGGCGTGGCAGCAGCAGGAACCAGAGGCACAGCTGAACACACACAGCACCTCTGACAGCCTTTAATCTCTGCAGGCACCCAGGGTCACACAGCTGTACCAAGGAGGGGACACATCCCAGTCCAGAGTCCAGGACTGTGCTCACTTGCCAGGCACTGTGCAGGAGGTGTTGGCTGAGGGGGCACATCAAGAGCTCCTGCAAGGTCACCCTGAGTGGCCTGGTCCAGGCTGTGCCCCCAGAGGCATCCAGAGGGCACAGACTGTGCCAGCCAGGGCACTGTGTGTCTGAAGGTCACACTGGCACAGAGGCCAGCTCGCAGCCTGTGACGCTGCCGGCCATTCCCCGTGCCTGAAGGTCACTCTGGCAGGGTGCAATGTCACAGCCCGAACACCAGATGCGGGGCGGGGCAGGGCCCACCCCCAGCCCGCTGCCAGCCCCTGGTGACACCGCGCAGCTGGGGGGACACCCCGGGGGCCGCCCTGCCGTCACTTGAGGCCGTAGATGAGAGCCACCCCCAGGAAGAAGAGGAGCCCGATAGAGAGATCCGAGAGGGCCCGGAGGCGTCCCTGTGCCGCATACTCCTCCCGCTGGAGCCTCAGCTGCTCCCTCCGCGCCCGCAGCATCTGCTCCCGCTGCAGTTGCTCCCCGTAGTGCGCACGGTAGAAGGCGTCGAAGTCGAAGGGGGTCGGGCCGGGCCCTGGGCGGGCGGCGGGGGCGCGGGGCGGCGACGGGGCGGCGGCGGGAGCGCGGCCCGAGGGCCGGGGCGCGTCGCGCAGCTCGGCGGCGCTCAGCAGCCCGCGGTCGTACTTGCTGCGGAGCGCGGCGCTGCCCAGCACCCGGTAGGCCTCGCTGACGGCGGCGAAGCGAGCGGCCGCGGCCGCGCTGCCCGCGTTGCGGTCGGGGTGGTAGCGGAAGGACTGCTCGTAGTACGCCGTCTTGATCTGCGCCGCCGTGGCCGTGGACGGCACTCCCAGTACCTCGTAGAGATCGCGGCGCGGCCGCGGGGCTCCGGCACCGCCCGTCTGCGCGGCCCGGGAGGGCGGCGGGGCGAGGCCGGGCCGCGGGGCCGCGGGGAGGAGCGGCCGCAGCCGCCCGAGCACCGCCGGGCCCATGGCGGCCTCAGCGCCCGCCCGCCGCCATCACCAGCGCCGCGGCGCGGAACTGTGACGTCACCGACGGAGAAATGACGTGTACAGACCAGCGCCCACCGGGCGGGCACGGCGCTGTCGCTGGGCAGTGACGTCACGCAGTCGCAGCATGGCGGGCAGTGGCCGCCGGCCCGAGCACCGCGGGCCACCCGAGCTGGTGAGCGGCGGTGGGGGACCGGGACCGTCTGGGGGAACCGGGAATGTCTGGGGGGGCACCGGGCATGCCTGAGGGGGGCACCGGGCATGCCTGAGGGGGGAATCGGGCACGCCTGAGGGGGGAACCGGGCACGCCTGAGGGGGGAACCGGGCACGTCTGGGGGTGAACCGGGCACGTCTGGGGGTGAACCGGGCTCCGCTGGGGGGGTCCGGCCCTCACCGCGCCCGCCGCTCTCTCGTTGCAGTTCTACGATGAGGCCGAGGCGCGGAAATACACCCAGAAGTACGGCAGGACCGGCGCTGCGGGTGTCGTGGGGCGGGGAGGGGACTCGCCATGGGGCGGACACCGGGGGCACCCACCGGGGGTAGGGGTCGGTCCTGGGCCCTGCCGGGAGTCCTGGGGTCCGGGAGTGAGGGGCAGGGTCGGGTCCTGAGGGAGGCGAGGGGTGCTCGGGCCCTGCCGCGGGCGTTGCGGGTTCGCTCTCGCAGTGCTCGGGATGCCGCCCGTCCCTCACGCTGTGCTGTGCCGCAGCTCCCGCGTGGTGGAGATCCAGTCGCAGATGTCGGAGCGGGCTGTGGAGCTGCTGGGGCTGCCCGAGGACCGTGCCTGCCTCCTGCTGGATGTGGGGTGAGCGGGGCTCTGCCCAATTCCATGGCATATCTGGGGCTGCAGGGGTGCACGGGCAAGGGGGTGGCCATGTCCCAGTGCCTTTTGTGGGCTGGGGAGGAGGGACAGGCTGCTGTAACGTTGGTGTGTGTGGCCAGCAGAGCCTCAGAGCAGCCCATGAGCCCAGCTCTTTCCCCCTTCCTCCCTCTAGCTGTGGCTCTGGGCTGAGTGGGGATTACATCTCTGAGGAGGGTCACTACTGGATTGGCATGGACATCAGCCCTGCCATGCTGGGTGAGCACAACCTCCCCTGAGACCCTCAGAGGCCCCAGGGCTGGGAGCTGAGTGCCTGAGCTGTGCTGTGTTCTGTGCAGATGTGGCCGTGGAGAGGGAGGTGGAAGGAGATCTCCTCCTTGCAGATGTGGGCCATGGCATTCCCTTCAGGCCTGGCATGTTTGATGGCTGTATCAGGTGAGTCTGTGCCTGTAGCTGAGCTCTCCTGACACCCCCAGAACTGCACAGTCCCCGTGGTGCACACCTGGTAGATCACAGCTGAGAGGGACTGGCCTTGTCAGCCTTGGCTCATCACTCCAGGACAAACCTCCAGAACTCTGGATGGTAGAAACACCTTGTGACAGCTGCTTCCCAGGTGATGCTTGTCCTTTGTGCTGCTGAGCTAGGAATTTTGTTGAAGGGAAGAAAGTAAAGCTGGGGATATTATCAGGATGGCTGAGACCTGCTCCAAGGAGGAGAACAAAGTATCAAGTGGCAGAGCTTAGAGAAGTCAGTCCCTGGATCAAGGTTTGGTGCTTGGCTTTGGGATCAGGGGGACAGAGGGACTTACCTGCTCAGAGAACAGCTGGGAGGAAGCAAGGGCTGTCCTTTGCTGAGCCAAAAGCTCTGGTGTAAATTGTTCTTTGGGAAAACCTGCTTGGCCAGGCAAGGGACACAGCTGAGCTCTCCAGTGCTGCTCAGGAGCTGTAATGCTTGGAGTAGGAGTAATGGGGGCAACATTTAGGTGAGATACAGAGAGGAAATTCTTCCCTGTGAGGGTAGGGAGGCCTCCAGGTTGCCCAGGGCAGCTGTGGCTGCTCCATCCCTGGATGTGTCCAAGGCCAGGTTGGACAGAGCTTGGAGCAACCTGGGATAGTGGGAGGTGTTCCTGCCCATGGCAAGGTCTGGAACAAGCTGACCTTTAGGGTCCCTTCCAACCCAAACCATTCTGTCATTCTATGATTTGAGCACTTGGACTAAAGGGGATGCTTGATGATGCTTTTGTCCTTTAACTTATGCACCTTGTTAAGTTTTGTGAGTCTCCAGAGGGGTTTGTGTAGCTGTGAAACAGAAGGCAGAGCAACACAGAGGAAATGAAATGATTTCCCTGAGGCCCAGCACATGCCTAGTGCAGGAATTCAGCTCAAGGGAGGTGACAAGCTCTGTGAAGGAAACAGTAACTCTGTCCTGAGGGTCTCATTTTCCCTCTCAGTATTTCTGCAGTGCAGTGGCTCTGTAATGCTGACAAGAAGTCACACAGCCCCCCCAAACGCCTCTACAGATTCTTCTCCACTCTCTACACTGCCCTGGTAAGTGCCACCCTCCACCAGCCACATCTCTGCTGCTCTTATGGCTTAGCTCTTTAGAAGATACTTCAAGTCAGGTTGTTTTAAGTAAATTAAGTCCTGCTCTGAAGCAGGACTGGCAGGAGCAGCCACTGCCTGCCTTCCTGCCTGGTGCTGCTGCTCATCAAGGTTGGACTTGATGGTCTTGGTGGTCTTTCCCAAACCTAGCAGTTCATGATTCTGGGATAGCTGCTGTTCCCCTGTGCCTCACTGGCTCTGTGGGCTGAGCAGCTCTCCTGGGAGCTTTGTCCTGGAGGTTTTGAGGGGGAGGGAGCTCATGTTTGGGGCTGGGATGGTGACCCAGAGGGGTCAGGGGAGTGATCAGCTCTGTCTCCTGCAGGCCCGAGGATCCCGAGCTGTGCTGCAGCTGTACCCCGAGAACTCAGAGCAGGTATCAGTCAGCTGGGAGGGGTTCTGGCACAGAAATAAATCATTTACTGTTTGCATCCTGTTCTTCCACATCAAGGCAGTGTCTCTGTCCCCCCTGCCACTTCTAGAGCTCTTCAGGAGCCCATAAAAATAACCTGTAAGGAGGATACCTTGTGCAGGTTCTGTTGTTTCATAGATTTACAGGAATTTATAGGATTTGTAGATTTATGTGCTCTTTCTTGATGGAGTGACAAAACTATTTTTTTGTCCCTTTAAAAAAGAAATAAGCTCAGAAGTTTTTCTTCTTAATTAAGTGAAAAAAAAAATTTCATAAGACTTAAAAGACTTCACCTCAAATTTAAAAATAGCTAATTAGACAAAAGCCAAAAAGTCCTGCCTAAGCAATTTACTAGAAAAAGAAGAGAGAACAAAGAAACTAATTGCTTTTGTGAGGTGTTTTACCAGGGGCAGGAGGGCCTCTTGCACCTGGCTTGGTTTTTCTCTGTAAAAAGTTTTGTTGTTTTGCCTTTTATTAAAACCTTTTTGTTTCCAACACGACCACAGAAGCCATCCTGCTGATTTTATGCCTTCTAAGATAGCTGAGCTATCTTAGGTGTGAAATAGATCTCCAAAAGCTTATGAGACCTGGCTTGAGGAAACACATATTTCATAGATTGTCTTGGGCTGAGTCTTAAAATTAAAATGGCAAGGAATTGGTGTGTGGATGGGAGTGCAGAACCAGGAGATGGGTGCAGAGCTTAGCAGGAGGAGGAGCAGTCCCTCTTGGGAATGCCCAGCCTGGTGTGGTGCTCCCAGAGGTCTCTTGGGCTTTCCTGGGGGATGGCTGCTCATTAACTTTGCACCTGCTGCTTTTCCCAGCTGGAGCTCATCACTGCCCAGGCCATGAGAGCTGGATTTACAGGGGGAATGGTGGTGGATTACCCCAACAGTGCTAAAGCCAAGAAGTGAGTCCTGCATCTCTGTCTGTGTTTGGGGTGAAGCCTGGGTTTAGCAGTGTTTTTTTGTTTTTTTCTTTTTGTTTTTCCCTTCCCCTGAGCTGTTCTCTCTCCCATTATGCAGTTCTGGACAGAGGTTAAAGCTTAGATCTGACTCTGTTATAAACCATCTCAGTCTTGCCTGGGGACTGAGACTCACATGCTGAATCCCACATTCATGCTCCTTATTCTTGTTCTTCCAGGTTCTTCCTCTGTCTCTTTGTTGGGACATCTGGCACATTACCAAAGGTGAGGCCTCCATGAGGCAGCAGAGCTGCTGTCCTGGGTGATGTGGAGGAGCTGTGGGCAGTGTGGGAGCCAAACAGCTCTGTGAGTGCAGATGTGACTTCACTGATACATTTTCTGCCAGTCACCAAGCCCTGCTCTCATATAACCACAGACTGGTTTGGGTTGGAAGGGACCTTACAGCTCCTCTTGTTCCAAACCCCTGCCATGGCCAGGGACACCTTCCACTGTCCCAGGCTGCTCCAAGCCCTGTCCAAGCTGGCCTTGGGCACTTGCAGGGATGGGGCAGCCACAGCTGCTCTGGGCACCCTGTGCCAGGGGCTCACCACCCTCAGAGGGGAGAATTTCTTCCCATATCCAATCTAACCCTTCCCTCTTTAAAGCTGTTCTGCCTTTTTTTTGCCATGATTTCTGAAAGACCAGTTTGTCCCTGCTCTGGTCCTTCCCTTTGCAGATCCCTGCATTCCCCTTAGTTTTGATGAGCTGTGCCTGCTCCAGAGGAGAACACAAGTTCCCAATTTTGCTTTCCAGGGCCTTGGTACCGAGTGTGCCAGTGAGGAGCCACACCAGGCAAAGTTCACCAATGAGAGGTATCGTGGGGGGGTGAGGCTGCAGGGTCTCCCTGCACAGTGGGGGCCCTGGAGGGCTGAGCTTTACTGGGGACCACACTCCCACAATGGGAGGGGAAGGACAGGGAGGACTCACAGCAGCCCAGGAGACAACTGCTTTATCTTCCCAAGGGACATGGGGAACAAAACTCGTTATTTCCCAGGGGCTGTAGGTGATTACCTAGAGCTGTAGGTGAGCAGTCAGGTGTGCTTTCTGTCCTGCACTGGGCTCTTCAGCTGATGCCAGGGTCTAGCAGAGGGAATGTTTACAGGGCTCATGATGGCCATGGAGGCAGGCTGCAGTGCCTGAGTCCTGGCATTCCCTTTTTTTCTCCTGTCCAGGTCCTAGCAGTGGCCTGGGGGGTTTCTGCTGCTGTCCCTGTCTCTTCCCACAGCAGTGGTGCAGGGAGGAGCCCCTCTTGCAGCCATTGGGAGAGACAGAACAAAAACCAGAGGAACGTTGTCATGGCTGCCAGGAGCTTGTGGCTGCCATGTTTTCCTGCCTCTTACATTGCTGTTCTCTGCTCACTCAGTGTAAGGGCTGTCTGGTCTTGGAGAGCAGTAGCAGAGCTGGGAACGTTGTAGAAACCCTGATTTTGTCTGCCTTGCTTGGAGTAGAGTAGACAAGGGGAAGGTGGTTGTGCACGAGCCTGTAATGCCCTGAGACCCCAGAGAGCAGCATGGTGCTGGTGTGACACAGGGTATGGCCTGGGGGAGTTCATGGGTCAGGATCCCTGAGCCAGGGCTGGAATCAGCCTCCTCCAGTGCTGGCTCAGCCTCTTGGCCAGGGGTGGTGGGAGGGAAACTCACTACTTCTGTGACCCAGTTCTGGGTGACAATCCTCTGGGGCAGAGAAATGTGCCCCCACACCTCAGTTCCTCTCCAGCTGCTGCCCCCTCTCCCCCCAGGACACGGTTCAGGAATGTCAAGGGCAAGTCTGTGAAGAAAAGCCGGGACTGGATCCTGGAGAAGAAGGAGCGCAGACGGCGCCAGGGCAAGTGAGTCCAGCTGAGTCCTGCCCCAGAGGCTGTCACTTGCTGTCACTGCCCAGCCTCCTGCCACAAACCTGCTCCCTTCCCCTCCCAAGTGCCCTGCAGGTGGTGCTGAGCTGTTCCCTGCTCTTCCCACAGGGAGGTGCGGGCAGACACGAAATACACGGGGCGGAAACGCCGTCCTCGCTTCTGAACTGCTCTGGACGCTGCTGCCATGGAAGGTGGCACGTGGGTGCCTCCAGAGAGCCTCCTGTGGATGGCACAGATGGCACCCCACACCTGGGGACTTGATGGAACTGGTCATTGTGGCTCTTAAAGGTGCAAACTGGCGCAGGTGCTGCCGAACAGCAAAGCTTCCAGCCCTGTTGCCCTGGTGAAGGTGCAGACAGCGCTCTGGCACTGCTGCTGGGCAGTGCTCTACAGTGCCATCACTTCCCTTCCTGAGTGCAGTGAGCCAGCTGAGCTCCAGGTAAGCCAGGATGTGATACCCAGTACCTCACTAAAGAGTCAAAGAGTTGCAAGTGTTTGCTGGTGTCCTGCGTCCTGCCCTTGGTGCTGGGAATATTGAGGTGGGAATGGGGTACCTCATTTCCCTGCCAGCTTCCCCTCTGCCTGCAGAGGATCCACACTGTCAGGGTGTAGTTCCATGAGGACAAAGGTACTTCATTCCCTGCCAGCTTCCTCTCTGCCTGCATAGGATCCACACTGTCAGGGTGTAGTTCCATGAGGACAAAGTTGCTCCTGACTCCTCAAGTGTTATTCCAGTAGCCATTTACTCTTGTTGGTGCTTGGCACCAAGCCCACCCTGTTTGCTTTAATGCTTCCAAGGTGCTGGGACTGACTGAACCCCCCCATCACCTCTTCCCTTCCCCTGAAACAAGGAGAGGTTCCAACCAGAGCTTTACAGTTACAAATGTTTATTCTACATAAAAATTCCACAAAATGGGAAGCTGTTTTGCACCCAAAGCCTCAGGAGAAGAAAGGAATGCTAGCAGGAAGGGAAAGAGGGAAGGAGAAGAGAGGCAACATACAGTGTCATCCAGCCCAGTGAGACAGAGCAAGCCAGGGTCAAGATCCACATAGAAAACAAGGACACTTAGCTCACAGTACAGCAACAGTAGAACTCCACGGGGGGCTCGGAAAGCCTTCAAGTACATTAATTACAAAAAAAAAACAAAGAAAAAACCAAAACCCAAAAGAAAAAACCAATCCCCAGTTCGAGTGCAAGCTGTGCGTGCCCCACACTGCTCATGGAATACTGCATCAACACGCTCCCGGCGTGGGGAGGGCAGGTGGCACCTGGAACAGAGGTGGTGGAACCCAAAGGACAAGCGGGTGCAGGTCAGGGGCTGGAAAGAAAAGGTGAAACGTCTTCCCAAAGCACAACCACGCTTTTGGTGATTTGGTCTGTACATGCAACGACAGGTAGGTGAAAAGGAACTCAATGGGGCTTCCCGTAGTGCAGGGGTAATTATTGCACCAAAACACCCTCCCCTCACAGCGAGGACAGTGTGAGCCTGCCTGTGGGGCAGCAGTGGCTCCTCGTCTCCCTGCCTTTGGAGCCCAGCACTGCTGCTGCCCACAGGATCCCAGCAAAGTGCCAGCGGCCCTGACTGGCCCCATCTGACTCCTGCTGCTGTGGGGGCTGCTGGCAGGGGTGGTGCCAACAAGGAGCAAGGGCCAAGAACCCCCCTTGAGGCAGTGCCTGGCCTTGTGCCTTGACAGGGGTGCCACAGCCCTGATGTCAGGTGAGCTTGTGCCACTAAAGCCGCTGCCTGGAAGAGAAAAAAGTCACCTTGTGCTAGCAGTTGGCATGGCTGCAGGGCAGGAGCCTGGGAGGAGGGCTTTCCTGCCTGCCCAGTGTTATTGCTTCCTAGAGGGGCCCTGGGGCTCTTGCTGGCCTGGCAGAGCAAGCATGGAGGGCAGTGGCAGGGAGCTGCTGAGGGACAGAAGCGTGGCCACTCCCTTTTCCTGCAGCCAGACGTGTCCCCCTGGAGCAGAGCCCCTGCCCTTGCCTGCCTCCTAGCCCTGCCTGCACCGTCCTGGTGCCCCAAGCCCTTCAGTGCCTGCAGGCTGCAGTGCTGGAGCTCACATCAGTGCTGTGGGACTGTGAAAGAAGGGGGCTCTGGGCTGGGCTGTTCCCATGGCTGCACCCCGAGGGGCTGGGACTGGGCAGAGTGGGGAACCAGGCTGGACCCCCTTGCCCACGGGAGCTGCAAGCAGCAGGGGGCTCTGTGTGGGGGGATCAAGGTGACAGTGGCAGAGAAGCCGTGTCAGGGCTGGCCCTGGGGCAGGCAGCACTCTGTGGCTGCAGCCTCTGCCTCTCCCCTACACCCAGAGGCACCACACACAGCCAGTGCCTGAGCCACAGCACCCTGCCAAGCTTGTGGAGCAGCCCTGCCCTGGTGCTGGTGGGAGCTAGGAGGTGACACTGCCCAAGGCTGGAATACTGGCTGCCATCAAGTGTCCCTTTTCTGCTGCCAGCCCCTGTCCCAGAGTGGCAGTGAGTCCTACCTGGGGACTCCTGTGGTGCTTTGGCATGTGCACAGGCCAGCCAGAGCCCTGGGGTCTGCAGAGGAAGGTGAGGGCAGAGCCCTGGGGTCTGCAGAGGAAGGTGAGGGCAGAGCCCTGTCCCTAGCCTGAGGCAAACGGGCATTGGCAGTTGCCAGTGAGACCCCACAGCAGCTGTGCCATGGGCATGGCAGAGGGCACAGGGCACCCAGGCTGTCCCACAGCTCCCCACTGAGCAGGTGCCTCACTGGATGGCTGGGAAGGAGGGCACGGTGCCAGGAGGTGGCAAACAGGCAGGCAGGCACTGGCCTGTTCAGAGCCAGACTGGAGACAGGAGGAGGGAGGCTGCTGCTCCTGGCTGGCAGGGGGCTGGATGCAGCAAGGGCTGCTCCTGGCACCACAACAGGAGAGAGCCCAACTGCTTCTAACCCCCAGCCATAGGTATGGAAAAGCAAGGCTGGAGCAGCCCTGCTCGCAGCTGAGTGCTGCCAGGGGCTGTGGACATCAGCAACAGCCCCAAACCCTGGCAGGCAGAGTCCAGCCTGTGGGCAAGAGCAGTCAGGGCACCGTGTGCCGGGGCTGAGAGCACTGCCATGAGGCTGTGCTGCAGGATGAGCAGCCAGGGAAATTCACTGGCCTTGGACTCTCTGTGCCACCCTGCCCTGTCAAGCCAGCATCCAGGAGCAGCACTGGCCCCCACGTGCCCTATTCCTGTCCCCAGGCAGCTGTGATGGCCCCAAGCAGCAGCTCCTTATCCCACACTGCTCCATCAGGCACCTCCAGCCTTTGGCACCCTACTGGGGCGAGGGCTCATGTAGGGAGGGGAGGAGTGGCAGGGTTGGAGCCCCAGAGCCAGACACAGTCACTGGCCAGGCAGGGCTGGGCAGAGCACACCCCTGGGGAAGGGCCCCGGAGAGAAGCAGCCCGAGGGAAGGTGTTTGCAAGCACAGATGCGGCCGACAGACATGAGAGCTGGAGGTGATGGGCAAGCTGGGGAGGCTGACTGGGCACCACACTCCCGAGGACCCCTGACCCCATCATCCCTCCCTCCCTCCCTGCTCCTGTCACTAACACTGCCCAGCACAGGATGAGCAGCAGCAGCCCCCCCGCCCACCCAGCCGGTCCCAGCCTCCCCCCAGCCTGCAGCAGTGATGAGAGCTCGGGTTTCCCCCCACCAGGGTCCCCCTCGCAGCCATCACCAGGGCCGGCCCCCGCCCGCCCCGGGGCCGGAGCTCCCTCCACACAGACGCACCGCACCGCACACACAGCGTCACAAACAACCATGCATGAAACTGAAATGCTGCTGGGAGGCTCCGGGGCTGCGCGGGGGGCTCCGGGCGGCTGCAGCCCCACGGCACGCGCGGCTCCATCCATCGCACACTGACAGTCCCGGGGGCAGCCTAGCCGAAAATGCCGCCGAAGGTGGAGGCGATGACGATGCCCAGGATCACACAGCAGATTATGATCATGATCTTCTTCTGCTCACGTGTCCCAGCAGCAGCAGCAGGGAGAGAGGGAAGAGGGGATGGTGAGTGTTGAGGCAGGGTGGACCCAGGAGTTCAGAACGGCAGCGTGTCCTGCTCCCCTTTGCCCATGGTGGACCCAGGAGTTCAGAACGGCAGTCTGTCCTGCTCCCCTTTGCCCATGGTGGACTCAGGAGTTCAGAATGGCAGTCTGTCCTGCTCCCCTTTGCCCGTGGTGGACCCAGGAGTTCAGAATGGCAGTCTGTCCTGCTCCCCTCTGCCCACAGTGGACCCAGGAGTTCAGAATGGCAGTCTGTCCTGCTCCCCTTTGCCCATGGTGGACCCAGGAGTTCAGAATGGCAGCCTGTCCTGCTCCCCTTTGCCCGTGGTGGGCTCTGAGCAGCATCTTGGGAGACAGAAGGGCCCTGGCAGTCCTGGGCAGGGAGTGACACTCCTGCTTCTGCCCTGAGCTGGCCTTCAGGTCCCCAAGCTGACACAGGAGCAGGACAGACAGCTGGCACTGTGCTCAGACTCTGAGCTGAACCATGACCTTTCCCTGCTTTTATTTTGCACAGGCTGTGGCTCTCACAGCATGTTGCTATCTTATTGCAAAAGCTCCATATTTTCTTGGTGATTCCTCATGGGCAGCTTTTCACAGCACTGACTCTTCTTCACAGCACAACTCACTCTTTTTCAGCACTCATCTTCATTGGACACAGCTGTGGCCTGTTTAAGGGCAGGCTTGCTCCTAATTGGTAATTAGTACAGCTGCAACTCCTCAGAGGTGAGATTACTTTCTGAACTATTTTCTTACATTCTATCTTCCCACAACAGCCTGCCTTGTCCCTTTTCCTCCCCCCAAGCCGCACCCCTGCCCTATGGTTCATTGTCAGCTTTCACACAGTCTGTGCTGGGAGCTCTGCAACCCTCAGGACCTGGGCTGCTCCCAGTGGTGTGGGGCAATGAGGTCCCTGGGCACCTGCAAAGCTGTGCCAGGCTGCCTGGGGCAGGCACAGAGCCAGCCAGGCCCTGTGGCTGGGATGGAGGTGTCAGCAGTGCAGGCAGGGGCAGATGGGCCCCAGCCAGAGCTGTGACTTGTAGCATCCCATGAACTGTCTCCCCTTGGTCAATCCCCAAGCCCTCAGCCTGGACACATTAACTACTTAGCACAGAGTCATCCCTCCCAAAGGGAAAAACAGTCTCCCCATGGATTTGGTGTCACAACTTCCTCTGGTTTCCCCTGTGGGAACCTTCTTCCTTGGTATCCCTGGTGGCCAGGTCCCTACTCCTGGAGACCAGGCCCCTCTGCTCCCATCCCTTCCCCTTTATAAGCTGCCTGCTCCACATGTTTTTTCTCTTTCCCCGGGTTTGTCCTTTGGTGACTGTGTTACTCTGCTGGAATAAACCTTGCTAAAGAGCCTTTCCTGCCTCTATTGCTGAGCCAGTGAGTGTTGAGTGGAGGTTTGACTGCATTGCCTGAATGTCAACTCAGCCCTGCCTTTGGACAGGAGAGGCTTGCTGGGGACAAGGGACAGGCAGCAGCACTTTTAGTGACTGTAACACTGCATTTTTAGTGACTCACCCGTCTGGCTTTGCTCTGGTACTTCACCGCCTTTTTGGTGTCGGACACAGCTCTCTCCACGTAGTCCACCGAGTGCTCCACGTTGTACTCGATGCGGTCAATCATCTCTCCCTGCAGGGGGACACAGCCCGCCCGGCCGCGCAGAGCTGAGCTCCCTCCTGCTCTGCCGCTCCCTGCCTCCGGGGGGACGCTGCCCTGCCCAGCAGCCCTGCACAGAGACGAGAACCATCAGCTGCCTGCAGCTACTGCGTGTCTCCTGCCCTGGACTGCAGGTTCCATGCCAGAGCATCTCTGTGCACATCCCAGCGGGGAGACGAGCAAGGGTGAGGGACAAGGGAGCTCCCAGCCCAGTCCCGGTGCTGACCTGCCCAATATCTCAGGTGACACCAAAGCCCCAGTGGGATCTACACCAGCACCACACCACATGCTGCTGGAACAGGAGGCATGGCAGGGAGCAAGGACAGTGCCAGCAGCACCATGAGGGATGCCCAGGAAACCACACACGAGCAGGGACCAGGGACCACCACTCCCATCCACACATGCACCGCACCGGGGGCAGGAGGGTCTGCAGCAAGGCCAGCCAGGACTGAAGGGGTCTGCAGCAAGGCCAGCCAGGACTGAAGAGCCCTCCAGGGACCTCTGCCCCTGCTGCAGGGGTAGGCTGGGACTGGGGGCTCCTCTGGGTGTGGGGACACGGGTTGGAGTGAGCTCCTCCAGCCTTGTTCACCTCCTTTGGCCCCATCCTGACTGGGCAGGCAAACAGCCAGGTCTGCAGCAGCTGGACAGGGCTGGCAGGAGTGGGAGGTTTGAAGCCCTGTGTCCTCCTGCATGGCATGGAGGGAATTGAGGCCACAGAGCCATGGGCTCATAGCCAGCAACTCTGCAATGCCCATTTCTCACCCTAATGCTGGAGAGCACAGGGAGGACAAACCTTGGGATGCTGAGCACTGAGCCCCACCAACTGCTCCCTGTCTTGTGTAAAACTGCTGCTGCTTCTTCCTAGCTGTGCCATGCCAGGGCAGAGCAGAGCTGCCAGCCCTGCTGCCTGCCTGGTGCCCCTCTATTCCCAGTGCCAGCAGCTCTGAGCTTCTCACCCACAGGACAAGGGTGCTGGCACCCTCTCACCCACAGGACAAGGGTGCTGGCACTGTCCAACCCTCAGAGCAGGGCATGGAATCATGAATTCCCCACATATGTCCCCCACTGCAGCCAGGACAGGCCACCAACACCACGGTGCCCCGGTGACCCTTGGTGTCCTGCCACTGGCCATCTCAGTGCCATGCAAGCAGCAGCCATGCAGGAGCAGCCATGCAGAGCAGAGCATGCAGCACCAGGGGGCCTTTACCTGCCACCGACGTCTCCTCGGGCCATGGCAGCATGGCAGGCAAGAAGGGGGGTGAGCAATGACACAGGAGCCCGTGCCTGGCTCTAGGGACTGGTGCCACAGGCTGGCAGCACAGCCCAGGGGCCACCCCCAGCTCACCCAGCTGGGCCTGGTGCTCCAGGGAAGGTGAAGGGATCTCCCCCTGCATGGCAGCCACCCACTGCCCTCCTCCTGAGCCCACACTGAGCCTCCCACCCCACACACACACACAGCACCCCAGCCCTGGGGAGCCCAGCTCAGCCCCATGGGAGCCATGCTGCTCCTGGATGTGGTTTTTTCCTCTCAGCACCCACCCAGGCAGGGGAGCACTGTTGTCCAGCCTCCCCACCCACCACAGGGAGCCCCCATCACCCTCCAAGCCCTGCAGGTGAGCCCTGGGCTGCAGCTTTTCCCCACCTGGCTCTCCACCAGCATGGCCATGTCCATGAACATGTCGTGCAGCTCTCGGATGCTGTTCTCCAGCTTGATGATCTCGCTGTGCCGTGTCTCAATCTCGTTCAGAGCCTGCTTGGTGATGTTTGAATCCATGATGATCTGCAGAGAAAACAAGGCCACTGAGCACCATGCTCACACCCAGCTCCAGTTGGGCTGAGCACTAAGACTCAGTCTGGGACTGGGGGCACCAAGAGAGGGATGAGCAGGAGCTGCAGAGCCCCTCCAAGCACCCCAAGCCAGGGGTTTGCAGCAGGGTGCTGGGACTCAGGCTGCTCCAGCAGATCCTCAGGCCAGACCTGAGCCCCCAGGCCCCCTCCTGCATGGGCTGTGTTCATTTCTCTGCACTGTGGCAGCACGTCCAGCAGCCATCCCTGGTGCTGGGGGCTGGCTCAGCTGCAGCAGAGCTTACCCCAGAGGAGAAGATGGCCGGGTTGCCGCTCTCCAGCATGTCCTCCAGCTCCTCGCTGGTGGTGGTCCTGCCAGCTGCAACCACACAACAACACAGGTCAGCCAAGAGCCCCCTGAACCCACCACAAGTCCCACAGGCTCCATGGTAACTGTCCCACGAGTGGAACAGAGCAGAGCTTTCGGCCCCAGGAGCACACAGGGCAGTTTGGAGGCTGCCCTCTCACAGCCTGGCTCTGACACACCTCATGTTAAGGGCATCAAGCTGCCAGCTTGGCTGAGCTCACACAGGAACACCCTCCTGGGCACACTGAGCACTCCTGCAGAGCAGGGAGCAGGGCTGAGGGACCAGCAGCACCCAGTGTCTGTGAAAGAGGAGGGATGGGGAAGGAGCCACAGGCAGGGGTGCTCTGGACAAACCCTGTCCCCAATGCCACCAGGACACTGGGCTCAGCTGGACTGCCCAGGTTCTGGCCCTGCTGCTGTAACCATGGCACAACAAAAAAGGCACAACTTCCCAAGAATATTTCTGGGATTCACATTCTCTAAAGCTCAGAAAAAGAAGAAATGCTTTTCTCATACAACATCCTTAAAAAACCCCAGAAAATGAAGTATAAAACCATCACCTGCAAATTGTGTATACTTAACAAGTTATCACATCCTTACAACTCCCTAAAAGATCTCTCACAAGCTGCTGTGAGGAACACTTGCTGTTTCTCTCTCTCTGTCCCATGGCATCCACATCCAACCACCAGAAGCCAGGCTCTGTCCTGCCCCCTCCATGGCTCTGGGGCCCTCCAGCCCCATGGCTCCTCTAAAAACCATTCACCCACACCTGGAGAAAAATGTGCTTCCTTCCCTTCCCCACCCCATGAAGCAGAGAGATTCTGACCCCTCCATGGGTGGCACTGATCCCTGCACTGAGTGCAGTGAATTTCTTGGGCTAGCAGCCACGTAGGACACGTGGAATTACAGCCAGACAGATGGAGATGCTGGGCAGGACACTGGGGGCTGCCCAGTGGGATGGAGAGGGTGGGCAGCTCACCTGAGACAGGACAAGTGACACCCACTGGTGTGAGCAGGGCAGTCAGGCAGGAGCAGCTGATGAAGGGACTCCACCAAGGCTGATGGAAGCAAAACCTGCAGAGCAGGGCTGGGGGCTGCAGATGCTCCCTGTGACACACTGCCTGCAGCCTGTGGCACTGAAAAGGACAACAGTATCCTCCAGGGCACTCAGAGTGGGGAAATGGGAAGAGCCCAGCACAGCTCTGACACATGGGCAGAGGCTGGGGCTCTGTGTGAGGCTGGTCTGGACAACCACGACCTGGTTGTGACCCCAAAGCCCTGAGCAGCTGCTGGTTTGAGTCCCAAAAACAACCTGAGGGGGTTCACAGATGCATGTGAGGCTGAGCTTTGCCACTGTGTACTCACAGATTTCAGGATCAGTCAAGCTCCCACCTTGCCCAGCTCTGAGAAGGGTCCTCAGAGGAGAATGGTCCCCAGGAGGAGAAGGGTCCCCAGCCCATTTCCAGACACCATTCCATGTTTTAGAGTGACAGAGCATCACTCCCACCAAGGATGATCCACCACAAGCCTTGCCAGCTTTCCTTGCTGTTGGCTGCTTGCTCTGGGCTGACCCTTGCTCTGGCCCTGCTCCCAGGAAGGGAGAACAAGGGATCAAGCAGCACAAAATTCCAAACCCTCCTGTGGATGTGCCCAGCTCTGAGCAGCCACTGGCCCAGGTGCTGTCCATGGAGAGCTGCTTGCTCTGCCAATGCCAGCCCTGAAGGGCTCCAGGAGATGCCACATCCATCATGGGCAGAGGTGGGGTGGGACGTGGGAATCATTCTCATCCTCTCCTTCCTGCTGCCTCACTGCCCTAATGCAGAGCACAGGGTTGGTAAAAGCTGCACTGAGGTGAAGGATGAGAGCAAAGGCATCCCATGGACTAACAGCTGGGCAGGCACTGCTGGCCTGGCACAGCTGCTCAGGAAGGACTTGCTACAATGCTGAGCCAAGCCTGGGGCATGGAGGCTGCATCTCACCCACACCACCTGCCCAACAATAACCAATTGTTCAATATAACCAACCTGCAGGACCTCAGAGCACTTCCCAGGAAAGCCACTGCCTCTTAACTGGGCTTCCTGGCCTGTCATCAGCTCCTCCACAGCACTAAAATCAGCTCAAAGTGTCCTGGTACCTGCCTGATCTGCTGCTCACATTCCCACAGGGCCATGGCACAGTGAATGGATGGAGCAGTGAAAGGATGGAGCCACTGTGAGGGAGAAGAGCCTGGAGGAACACTCCTGCCCCAAAATTTGGTTAAACACCAGAAAATCCTGAGCATTGGACCTGTGCCTCCCCAGGGAGCTCCAGAGTACATCTGCCTCTTACTTGGCATCTCCAGCAATTAAAGTTTCTTGGGGAGAAGCAGCTCTGCCAACAAGAAACACCCAGAGCACGGAGGAGCAAACTCTGCCCTAAGGTGGCAGGGAGAGAACAGAGAGAGACAGTGCCCAGGCCACTGCAGAGCCAAACTCTGGGACAGGTGAGTGTGAAACCACTGAGGAGACTTCAAGGTACAGTAATGGCCCTGTAATGGCCAGCTGGGCAGAGTGACCACCCCAGTGAGCATCTCCCAGGGCATGGGGCAGCCCTGCCAGGGTGTGGGGGAAGCTCCCAGGGAAGCCTCTGGTGGCACAGCTCAGTCCCACAGCCCAGCTGACACTGGATGGCAGTGTGGCCAACCCTGCATGCAGATGTCTATAAATAGGGAGGTAGCTCAGGGCTGAAGGAGTCCAATGGTCCATGGCCAAATGAGGGCTCAGCTGGGCTCTCCAGGCTGGCAGCACCCCTGGGCTGGCAGCATCCCTGCACAGGCACCTGCAGAGCCACAGCTGGGGCTCACACTGAGGACAGGGAACCTTCCCAAGGCTGGGATCCTCTGCCCAGAGCTGGCTTTTCAACACTTACAGACACAAATCTATACAATTCATGGAGAGATGGGCAATGCTGTCCTGTCCAGCTGTGTGTGAGGTAACAGGTACAATCTGGCCCACCTGGCTGTCACCCAGCTCACACAGCTCTGGCCCTGCCCAGGCTGGTATCAGGATGAGGATTCAGCCACAGAACCCTGCACCCTGCATGCTCTCAGAGCTGCTCCTGGGTGGGCAGGGTGATGCTGATGGTTGCACAGCACAACCTCTGGCACACACAGATACAGCAGTGCCCACACAAGGAGAAGGGAACAGATCCTGAGGGGGCTGTGGGGAGCCCCAGGGGGTGGCTGCAGCCCAGGGCACTGACTCCACATCACCAACTCTGCCACTGTGCTACTTGCAGAGCCAGGTGTGGTGAGGATGGAGAAACTTGCTGGTGCTGGGGAGCCTGCCCAGAGCACCTGAGAAGTTCCTGCTCTCACACTCAAAACCCAAGTGATTCACTGGCTTTGCTGTCAGAGCTCCCAGCACTTTCTATCTTTGGACTCCTCAGCAGAAAACGAGAGCTGAGGATGTTGTGGAGATCTGTGCAGTCACAGCCCAGCTGAGCTCTGTCCCAGAGAGCCTGTGCAGGAGCAGCTGGGGCTGAAGCCCTGCCTGGGACACCCCGGGCCAAGCAGAGCCCCTGGTAGAACACCCATAAACTGTTCCTTGGTGTCCCCCTGATTTTTGAAGATTTTCTAAGTCTTCTGATGTTGACATTTTTATAACAAACTTTCTCACACGCTTTCTGTAAATAACTCATTGTTTTGCATTCCTTCATGGAGGAGGAGAAAGTTGATGGACTGCTGGTCTGTCCAGTGTCATTGGAGAGGTGGCACTGTCACCCTCCAATCCACTGTCACTCTTGGAAAGCTATAAATGTTGGAGTCAGAAAATAAACCTCCCTTTTTTCTTCACCTTGAGAACAGCACTGTGAGCTTGTGTTCTTTCATGTCCTACAGCGACACCTTTGGATGAGTCTTTTTGCCAGGAAATCTTTTCCATTTCCTAATGGGGGAATCCAGCTCTGGCAAAGGGCTGTGCACAGGGCTGTGCCCTCCCCAGCCCAGCTCTGCACCTCTTCTATAGGAATGAGAAATGCACTCATCTCCCACACTCCTCCACACCTCCATCCTGAAGGGAACAGGAGTCCCTTGCTCTCAGGAACAGGGACACCTCTCCTAGAGCACACTTTGCTCCATGGGGGCTCCTGAGCTGCCCTGTCCCTGCACCCCCAGGCTCTGTCAGGCACTGACAACCTGGCAGGATGGACAGAGCAGACAAAACAACAATATATCTTCAGGACTTAAGCAGAGCAGCAGAGACCTCCCAAAATTCAGTAGGAAAACACGAGGAAGGTTTCTTTCAGGTCTGCATCCAGTCAAGGACAAGGCTGAGCCCTTCCAAACCTCCTCTCTCAGAGGGAGGCACAGGGATACCTTAAATTGCTGTTCACATGACAATGCACTCCTCAGCTGTCACTGCAGGGTGAGTCAGGCAGCTGGAGCAGTGACACATCCTGCTTTACAGCAAACTGGCAAGCTCTTGTTGAGCCCCGTGTCAGTCAGCCTTCCCATGCAGCCCTGGGAGTATCAGGCACCACAAGGACTAATCTGAACAAAGATTAAGGCTTGCAGAGCTGTGTCTCCCTCCAGCCCTCCACAGAAATTCCCACAGCACCCAGATTCCCAGCACATTCCCACAGGTGACCACCAAGGACACCAGGTTGACTCACAGATCTCCCATCATTATTCACAGTGAGTTGTTGGAGGAAAGAAAAAACATCCATTTGGTTCTTAGGAAAAAAAATTACTAAGTTCAGAGCCTTCCATTCTGAGCACAAACCCCACAACATGTCTGAAAGTGAGATTATTTGCAAAAATCTCCTTTGATTTCTGCATGCCCTGCCTTCCCCTTCCCCCTTGATTATTCCCCTAATTACATGGTTCTTCTTTGCTGGGAGAACACCCCTTTGCTCTAAACTGTCACTGCCTGCCCAGAAGGACCATCAGGAGAGTATTTCTAGAGAGGCAGGACTGGACTGCTCCTAAGGGATGGGCTCTGGCTGACTCAGAGATCCAAGTGCCACAGCAGTGTCACCTGGGTGAGGTGCCACCAGCCTCAGAGGTGTCACCTGAGGTCCACCCTTGGCCACAACACAATGGCTGCTGAGAGCCATCAGTCCTGGGCCCAGAGAGGCAGCACTGAGGCTCCTGCTCCTCCTGTGCAAGGGAGACCATCAGGAGCAGGGATTGCTCCCATCTCAAGAATTCCCTTCCCTGATTCCATGTTTAGCTAAGTTCATGCATGAAGAGCACCCTGAGGAAGGACAAGCACCCACAGGAATCAGGAATTCCTGTGAGCTTCTTTGAATAAAAATTAGCTGCAAACACAGAAGGAATCCCTCTCCTTGTGATCCCTGTGCTCTCTCTGCAGCATTTTGGGATGCACTTTGCTGGATGCAGTTGCCACTGGAACTCAAGGTCTCACCCCACAGGAGCCATGTTCCAGCTGCTCCCAGGGGCTCCTGTGCATCCCAGGAGCTCTGAGGGAGTGTTCCAGATTACAGCAAGGCAAGCTGTATTCTATTGCCACCTGTATGGCAGCTGTCTTTTGTCAAGTGGGCACTTTGCCTTATGTCTGTCTCTGAGTGCTCACATCCACTCCTCCCTCAGGAGGGGACATCTGCTGATAACAGCCATTGAATGTCCCTGCATGGCTGATAAGAACTACAGCATCCCACTGGGAGATGTGAGCCCAGAGGGAGGAGCCAAGCATTCCTACCTGGATATAATCTGGAGATTCTGGAACACCAGCACAGCTTCTGCACTGGATTCCCCAGAGGAACAGCAGCTGCCTCTTCTTCCCCTGGATCTTCAGAGGCAGAGACTGCACCTTTCTCCAGGATCCCTGCTTCAGCAGAGCCAGCCCTGGCACTGCAGGAGGGCTGAGCCACAATTCCAATGGTTCTGCTGCCAACAGCCTGACCCACAGGGTGTCAGGCTGGGTTCTGACTCTGTCAGTGTTGGTTTGGTTTACTGCATTGTTTATTTTATCCTTTTATTTTCTTCCCTATTAAAGAACTGTTATTTCCTGCTCCCACATTTTTGCCTGAGAGTCCCTTAATTTAAAATTTATAGCAATTCAGAGGGAGGGGGTTTACATTTTCCATTTCAGGGGAGGCTCCTGCCTTCCTTAGCAGACACCTGGCTTTCCAAACCGAGACAGGGAGCAGCTCTGCTCCATTGGGAGTGCTCAGGCCGTGGCACAGAGAGCCCAGTGCCCCATGGCAGGGTGGGTTACTCACTGATCTCCAGCTGCCTCTGGATCCTGCCCTTGCAGCGCTCCCGGTAGTCGGTCTGCGTGGCGTTGTACTCCGACATCACCTCCACGAACTTGCGGGACAGCGTGGAGTGCTGGGGGGACACAAGGGGACAGCAGGCTGAGAGTGGCACAGACATAGTGCCATAACACAGGAGTGTTATGAAAACTCCTCTGGCTAGGATCTTTCTCCTGAGAAGCTGAGAGGCCTCAGAAATGAAATGTAACCAATGGTTATCTGCTGCTGTGGAATGCAACAGGTGCATCTGGGATTGGTCTCATGTAATTGTTTTTAATTAATGGCCAATCACAGTCCTGCTGTCTCAGACTTGGTCAGTCACAAGATTTTATTATCATTCCATTCCTTTCTAGCCTCTTGATGAAATCCTTTCTTCTATTATTTTATAATGTATCATTTCAATAGAACCAATTATATATTATTCTAATATCTTACATATTCTACTCCTTTATAATATATCATTCTAATAGAATTCTTCTATTCTTTTATAATCTTGGTGTTTCTCATGGGCAGCTCCTCAGAGCACTGACTCTTTCTTCTTCACAAAGCAGCCACTAACCCCAAGTCCCCTCTCACCCAGCCACCCCACTCTTTTATAGCATCTTCCTCTCACTGGTCACAGCTGTGGCCTGTTAAAGTCAGGCCTGCTCCTAATCTTTGCTAATTGGCCCAGCTGCAGCTCCTTAGGAGTGATATTACTTTCTACACTATCTTTATTTTCTTACATTCTATCCCCCTACAGAGGCCTCCTCTCCAGCACTTCTAGGATCCCTGAGCTGCCCCTTGCCCCCCTCCCCTCCCTGTCAGAGGCTCACCTGAGTTTTCCTTATCCGCAGGTCGGCCGATGACCTGTTCAGCCCCTCCTCTTGTTCAATGCTCTGCTCAATGCCTGAAGGGCACAAGGACACATTAGTTTCCTGTTGTGTCGTGATTTCAGGGTTTACCTCAGAAACCTGGGTCCCTCCCCTGATAATTCCCTGCCAGGTGTGTCAGACACCTCCTCTTTCCCTCCCAGCACTGTCTGTCAGTCCTGGCATTCCAGAAGGGCACTGAGTGATTGGCAGATCCAAAGGATGCCCTCTACCCCTGGGGGGCATTGGGCCATCCAGGTGTCCTTTGTCCCTTGTCCCTCCCCTCCTGTCCCTGCTTGGTGGCTCCCTGCCCCTTCCCTGCCCCTCTCCCCGGGGTTCAAAGGAGCAGCAGCCACGGGCTCAGGGAGTTCTGTTGGAGCTGGTGCTGCATTCAGATGCCAGAATAAAGCTCTGGATCCAAACCCTCCATCAGAACCGACTCCTTTCCTTCACCATGGCCTGAAAGCTTCTCCACAGAGGGAAACCTGAGGAGCAGCCCCTGTTATGGGGGAAGCTCCATCCCAGCACCACCAGAGCTCCTGAAGGCCTGGACTTGTCTGCAGGGCCCAGCTGCAGCACCCAGCCAGGCAAAAGTGTCTGTGGGGTGAAACACCACACACCCAGCCAGCCAAAAGTGTCTGTGGGGTGAAACACCACACACCCAGCCAGCCAAAAGTGTCTGTGGGGTGAAACACCACAGTGCTGCTATCTGGTTCAGCACCAAGGGCCAGACAAGCTCAGGCACATCCTGTCTGGCTAGATTGGTAATTATTCCAATAGTTTGTGCTCTTTGGAGAACAACCACTGAATCATTCAGGCTGTAAAAGACCTCCAAAATAATCAAATCCAACTTTCCACTGATTACCTCAAGCCCATGAAGCCACTGTGCCAAATGCCAATGTGCTCATTTTTGGAACACTTCCAGGGATGGTGACTCCACCACTTTGCCAGAGTGGCTGCTCCAGTGCTTAACCAAAGGAAGAGATTGCTTGGCAAAGGGACTGTGAAACACTGGATCAAGGAGCAGCTGGTGCTGGGCATGTCCCAAACCCTGACTCCAGCATTGAGCTGGCAGCAAAGCCCTGCAAAGCACCTGGTGCCTGGCCACTGGCTGTGATCTGGGGCTGAAAGGGCAGCACTGTCACCCCCAGGCTGGTGAGCCAGGATTTCCACACAAAATCAATGTGGTGCTTAGGTCTGATTGCCAGTATTCAAACAAACTGGAGAGCTGCTTCTACCAGAGAGGCAGGAGGAGAATATGCAGAGCTGAAGTGTCTGCAAAATACCAAACCTCACAACTCCTCCAGGGAACCAAAAACCAGCAGCTCCTCCATGTCCTGGAGTGGCACAGGGAGCACCCACCACGCTGGCAGGAGTGCTGAGCAGCCATGGAGCAGCACAGGGATCTGCCCCTTTAATTAGGAAAATAATTGACATGAAGGCCTCAGTGCCCAAAGCCTGAAGGCCATGGCAGGGAGGAGCAGGGTCATGTCCCACGGTGCTGTGGGCTGCAGAGACACAGGCATCTTTTATGGAAAATCCTTTCCTTAGGATTTTTCCTCCTGAGAAACTGAGAGGCCTCAGGAACAAAATGGAACCAATGGTTATCTGCTGCTGTGGAATGCACCAGGTGCATCTGGGATTGGCCCATGTGGTTGTTTCTAATTAATGGCCAATCACAGTGAGCTGGCTCAGACAGAGAGTCCAAGCCACAAACCTTTGTTATCATTCCTTCCTTTTCTATTCTTAGCCAGCCTTCTGATGAAATCCTTTCTTCTATTCTTTTAGTATAGTATAGTTTTAATATAATATATATCATAAAATAATAAATCAGCCTTCTGAAACATGGAGTCAGATCCTCATCTCTTCCCTCACCCTAAGATCCCTGTGAGCACGGTCACACTGCAGGGCTGGCACAGAGCAGGACCAGCAATCCTGCCCCATCCCTGGCAGTGCCCAAGCCTTGCAGCAGCCTGGAGTACTGGGAGGTGTCCCTGCCCATGGCAGGGGTGAAATAAGATTACCTTTAAGGCTTTTTCCAACTCAAACCATCCCATCATTCCAGCATTCTTTGAAACCTGTTCCTCAAGGCCAGCTCAGGACATACTAACTCAAAGACTTAATTTCAGGGGATTATAAAACTTGGAAGAAAGCTGCCATCAGCAGGCTGGCCAATGTGCAGGGACACACCTGAACCAGCCATGTGAGCTGGTGGCATGTCAGAACTCAGGACATCCTTCTGGGTGTCCAGAGGTGCCAGGACCCCTGCCAGGGGGCTCAGAGACCCTGGCACACAGCCCAGAGCACCTGTGGGTTTGATTGTGACCCGTGGAGCAAATTACCAGCTTTGTATGAAGGCCTGAAAGTCACAGAAGTTTAAGTAGTGTAATAATAAAATTATCACTGGGTGAAAAAGTAGATTTTGGGGATTTTGGAATAGGGGTTTTGGGGACAAGATGGAGGGACCTGGGCGTGTCTCCAGCCTTTCTTCTTCATCTTCTCTACCTCCATCTTCTGCTGTGATGGTGGCACTTTGGGATTGGTTTAGAATAGAAACTCACCGTTTAACACAGGTGATAGGTATTGGAAAGTAATTGTAAACATGTTATATGTAGTTTTTAGTATAAAGAGATAACACTGCCCCGGGGGCAGGCAGAGTGCCTGAACTGTCCTGCTGGACAGACCTTGGCAGGACAGGAGAAAACTTTTATAGGTAAGAAACAATAAACAACCTTGAGACAGAGAACTGAAGAACTCTGACTCCTTCTTTGAACGTGTGGACCAAAACAGAGACTGTTCACGTGTCTCAGGGCTGCAATAAACTGCAACCATCCGAGATCTTGGCGTGCCTGGGTGGGCACACTGATAAAGCTCTTGGCAAGCAGCCAGAGTGGCATCCCTGGAGCTGGGCTGAAGAGCCCATTCCCAACAGTGGTGTCTCACAGCTCTCAGAGCCCAGCTGTCCCCAGCACTTTCCATCCTGGATCAGTCCCTCAAGCCCAGCACAAGGCAGGCTCCTCCTGCAGCAGGGCTCACCCCCAGCACAGCTCAGTGCATTTCATCAGTCCCTGGGCCTCCTGCACACCCACATAGAGCACTCCCCATTCCCATGGAATGCTATTGGCAAACACTGGGCATTTCTGATAACTAATAAAATCCCATTTTCCCAAGAAGCTAGCAATCAGAATTATGCCCTGCATGAGTAATGTCTGGCCTGAAGAAGTCAGTTTGTTGTCAGCAGCTGTTGTTTTTGATCAGCCCTGACTGTTTTCTGTCATTGATCATGCTGGCCAGGAGGCAATTTGGGACACAGCACAAGCACCAGTCATCTGCTGCTCCAGGTTAATATGACAGCAGAGAGGCTTTTCTGGAAGCAGGGAACAGGAGCCTGTCCTGCAATCCTTCAGGCTCTCAAAGTCCCTTACAAAACACTGAACAAAACACTTATGGAAAAAGTTTCTGATGTCCATATCACCACAGGCAAATCCGAGGTGCCAGGGGTGACCTGGCTCCTGTCTCAAGATGCTGCCATCCTCTCAGACTCCCTCAGTCCCCTGGGGCCCAGTCTTGGAATTCTGGGTTGTCTGAGTGCTCCAGCACAACCCTGACCATCAGTGGGCAGACAGCCCCCTCAGAGAGTGACTGACTCCTCCAATAGTGGAAACTGAGGGTCACATCCTGCAGCACCTCCCACAGCAGCACCTCCTCACCCACCCAGACCTGAACAGAACTTTTGGCCAAGCTGGGGGTTTGCCCAGTGTCCAAGCCCTGCCAGAGGTGTGGCACAGGACTCACTCAGAGCCCACCAGCTGCTCCTGGCCCCATTCCCTCAATTCCATTCTGGGAATGAGGCACAAGGGGACAAAAAGGGCAAGAAAAAGCATCTGGAGGGTACAGCAGGGAGGGAAGGTGATGCTGATCCCTGGGAGTATTTCCAGCCTGGGACAGGAGTGCTCCAGGCAGAGCCAGAGCTCCATGCTAGGCAGTTTAGTTTAGTTCAGTTCAGTTCAGTTTAGTTTAGTTTAGTTTAGTTTGTCACCACTCACTCTTTAGTTTGGAGCGCACTTTGTTCGCCGTCTTCTTGATGTCAGACATCAGCTCCTCCAGCTCCTCTTTCGTTTCTGGGGAGAGAGCAAAGAGCAAACATGGGTGTGCTGCAGACACCACTGAAATCTGCTGCCCTGCAGAGTGTAGAGACCAGAGCTGGGAGCCCTTCAACCCCCTGTCCTGGTTTGAAAAAGAAGTAAGTTTTTGGGAGTTTGTGGTCAAACCAATCAGTGCTGAAATTTGAATATTAGCACCTGGTGTGGCCACTGAGGACATGGATACACCTCTGAGAACACAGGGGGTTAAAAGCAGAGAACTCCAGAACTCCCCTAACTGGAAGGATTTTCAACCCCTGATTGAAAACACTCCCAATTCCCAGACTGGGATCACTCCCACAATCCAGACTGGAAGCACTCCCACAATCCAGACTGGGAAAATTTCCACCCCCAGACTGGGAGCACTTGCATCCCCAGAATGGGAGCACTCCCACATCCAGACTGGAAACCCTCCCACATTCAGACTGGGAGCACTCTCACAATCTAGGTGGGAACACTTCCACCACCTCATGCTCCATGCTGGACTCTCCTCACATTCCTGGGACCTCCAGCTGCTTCCAGCTCTGGGGCCCCAACACAAGCGTTAAATAGAACAAGAATACAAAAATAAGGTCAGGTTAGACGTGGGGAGGAAATGTCAGACCCTGAGGGTGGGCAGGTCCTGGCACAGGTGCCCAGAGCAGCTGGGACTGCCCCTGCATCCCTGGCAGTGCCCAAGGCCAGGCTGGACAGGGCTTGGAGCAGCCTGGGACAGTGGAAGGGTGTCCCTGCCATAGCAGGGGGTGGAACATTTCAAATTCCCTTCAAACCCAAACCATCCTGTGACCCTGTGATCACATCCAGGTTCTTCTCCCAGAAACCAGTGTGTCCTGAAAGAAGCCAGGATTGCAGCTGTGCCCCTCAGCAATTTGTGCTTCAGGAACTGCCAGAGCCCCTGGAGCAGCAAACCCAGATCACTGAGACCCACCTGGGGTCTGCCAGTGCAGCTCTCCCTGCTGCCACCCCAGCACTCCCTCTTGATTTTGATGAGATCAAGACTTAATTAAATAAAACTTAGTTTAATAGAGCTGAGGCATATTGACTGACTCATGTCAATGGTTCTGATGCCAGCTGCCAGTCACAGGCATAATTAGACAATCCTGATGATGGGAATGTTCTGGGGGAAGGTCCTATCATTCTGGCAGCTATAAACATCCCCATCCCTGAGCTACAAGCTTCAGCACTATTGGGAAAAGGAGAGAAGGAATACATCTGTGAAGTCCTTCACCCCAGGATATTTGCTGTAGAAGGGGCATAAATGCAGTGGCAGGAATAGGACATTTTCAGTTTAAGTTCTCATTTAAGTGACTATTTTTTTTTCCCCATTCTTAAAAAAAACGAATAATAATGTAATAATAAAAAATAAAGAAATAATAAGAAACGGTAATGTGAAGAAATTTCTTTAAAGAATTTATAGGATATATAAAAATTTCCAATAATAGGAAAGTAATAAAAATAAGAAACTGTTATAATAAGAATTTTAAAACTGTAATAATAAGGAATTAAATTTATTTCTTAATAAAGAAATAAAGCAGCCTGGGCTGAGTAACTCCCTGCAGCCATCCAGGCTGGGTAAGCAGACAAGGACCAGGAGTACAGTAGACAAGAGGAGACAAGAGGAGACAAGAGACAAGAGGAGACAAGAGGAGACAAGAGGCTGCCATGGCCACAGGGATGGGCTGGGAGCTGGGATTGTTCACCTGGGAAGGGGAAAGCCAAGGGGGTCCCTACTGGTGTCTGAGACCACCCTGCAGGAGGGTGCAGAGAACCCGGGCCAGGTGTCCTGCTGGTCCCTGGAGGTGACATTCAGCTTCCTACTGTAGCTTGGGGGAGCACAGGAAGAGGACAAGCAGTGCTGGAGCAAGCAAAATGCAAATTAGATATTAAGAAGAGCATCCATGATGGTGATCAAGTACCAGATGCAGAGAGGCTGAGGGATGTCTGTGGGATGTCTGTGGGATGTCTGAGGGATGTCTGAGGGATGTCTGTGGGATGTCTGAGGGATGTCTGAGGGATGTCTGAGGGATGTCTGTCCTTATGGATGTTCTGCACAGGGCTGAGCACTGGACCTGCTGGAGGGGACTGGCCAAGGTCCCTTCCCACCCACGTCCACCTTCAATTCTCCTGAACAATTTCTCCTAACTCACTGCCATGTGCTTTCCCTTCCCCCTGTCAGTTCAGGCTGAGGGATCCCCCCTCTGTCCTGCTCTGAGACCTCACCTGCAGACCTGCTGCCAGCTCTGGAGTCCCCAGCCCAGGAAGGATGTGGAGCTACTGGAGCAAGTGCAGAGAAGCCCATGGAGATGCCCCAAGGGCTGGAGCCCCCTCTGGAGCCAGGCTGGGAGAGCTGGGGGTGCTCAGCCTGGACAAGAGAAGGTCTCAGAGTCCCTTCCAGTGCCTAAAGGGGCTCCAGAGAGAGGCTGGGGACCAGGGATGGAGAGACAGGACAAGGGAGAATGGCTCCCACTGCCAGAGGGCAGGGATGGATGGGATGTTGGGAAGAGATTTCTCCCTGTAAGGGTGGGCCCAGAGCAGCTGTGGCTGCCCCTGGATCCCTGGAGTGTTCAAGGTCAGGTTGGACAGGGCTTGACCAACCTGGGATAGTGGAAGGTGTCCCTGCCCATGGCAGGGGGATGAGATGGGATGAGATATGAGATGGGGTGAGATATGAGATGGTCTTTAAGGTCCATTATGAGCTGTGACATGCTGCTGTGAAGCTGCCACTGAGGACACAAAGGACAAGTGCAGAGCACAGCCTGTGCTGGCCACTCAGGGAGCCAGCAAGGGCCACAGGACCCCACTGGTGGAAGGAGGGGACAGGGAACAGGGCTGGATGCCTTCCCTCAAACCATTTCCAACTGAGCAGCATGAAGAACACTCCTTCTGGCTGGATTTGAGTCACAGGCCGTGTGAGGATTACTTGGCGGCCTGGCAGGCACAGGCTGCCCAGACAATTATTTTCACATGCACAGTGTCTGTTTAAGTGACTCACTGAGATTATTTAACCATTCCCAGCCAGGGACACACAGCCATGGGAAGCTGGAGTACCACAACACTGCTGTGCCAGGGCCAGCATCCCTTCATGCCAGAGGGGCACTGAGGGGCCACGTGGGATGTTCCAGAGCAAGAGCCAAGCTCCCCACATCCCATAGGATCTCCTCTCCATTGCCACTGGCACTGAGCACAGCAAGAGCAGAGATGTCCCTGCCCATGGCCACATGTCCCCAGTCTCTGCTGGGAGGGAGAAGGAGTCTTTGGTCCAAGACCCCTGAGAAGTCTTTGGTCTTGACACCCCTGAGGAGCCCCAGGGCCTGCTGTGACCTGCCTGGGAGGGAGGCCAGGCAGTGCAGGGAGCAGGCAGGGGCACAAACTCCTCCTCCTACCTCTGCCAACAGCTCATGAGGCCCCTGTCTGACAGAGAGCAGACACTCAGCCCAGGCTGGTGACACTGCAGGCAGGAGGAACAGGAAGGCAAAAGCAGATAGGAACAGGCAGGAGCAGGCAGGAACAGGCAGGAAGAAGCAGGAATAGGCAGGAACAGGTAGGAATAGGCAGGAACAGGCAGGAGCAGGCAGGAGCAGGCAGGAATAGGCAGGAGCAGGTAGACAGGAACAGGCAGGCAGGAACAGGAAAGCAGGAAGGAACAGACAGGACAAAGAGCGAGCAGGCAGGAGTAGACAGAAGCAGAAGGGAGGAAGAGGCACACAGGCAGGAGCAGGCAGGAGAAGACAGGAACAGGTAGGAGCAGGCAGGAATGAGCAGGCAAGCAGGAAGGAACAGACAGGACAAAGAGTGAGCAGGCAGGAGTAGGCAGAAGCAGAAGCAGGAGGGAGGAACAGCAGGCAGGAAGGAGCAGGCAGGAATAGGCAGGAGCAGGAAGGAGCAGGAAGGAGCAGGAAGGAATAGGCAGGAGAGCAGGCAGGTACTGGCAGGCACAGCCCTCCACCCTACACAGGTACTGTCACTCTATCTCTCTGGACATCATGGTGACAGTGACTTTGCTTACAAGGTGCTCAGCCCTTGACTCTTTGCTGGGACTAAGAAACTTCACCTCAGCAACCTTCAAGTCTTTACTGACAATAACCACTAAAACATCATCAAGAAAAGTGCAAGTCCAAGCTAATTCCCAGCTGAGTTACCTGGCAAAGCTGGAAGGATCTTTTCGGCAAAGATTTAGCTCTTTCAATAAAAAATGAAAGAAGATTGTGGGAACAGTTCCTTGAAGAAAATTTTAAACAAATAAACCTTTCTTGTTTATCTAGGAACTTTCATTCATGGAAGGTTGGGTACTTTTTAAAGGTGAATGCAAAGAGGAAGCCCCACAAGGATCTGATCTCTGGGAGCAAATAATAAGGAATCCTTCCTAGGAACTGTAGGGATCTGGCAGAAACATCTTCCATAGTGTTTCATGGCCTTAAAGCAACTCAAAAGGTTTTAAAAGGTACCAGAGATGAGATTGGCTAGAAAGGTCCAGTACCTGAGTCAGGCCAATCCTCAGGACCACCACAGACTGGGGAATGGATGGATGATGGATGGATAATGGATAGATGGATGGATGGATGGATGGATGGATAATGGATGGATGGATGGATGGATGGATGGATGGATGGATGGATGGATGGGGGATGGATGGATGATGGATGGATGGATGGATGGATGGATGGATGGATGGATGGATGATGGATGGATGGATGGGTTCATGGATGGATGGATGGATGGATGGATGGATTCATGGATGGATGGATTCATGGATGGATGATGGATGGATGGATGGATGGATGGATGGATGGATGGATGGATGGATGGATGATGGATGGATGGATGGATGGGTTCATGGATGGATGGATGGATGGATGGATGGATGGATGGATGGATTCATGGATGGATGATGGATGGATGGATGGATGGATGGATGGATGGATGGATGGATGGGGGATGGATGGATGGGGGATGGATGGATGGATGATGGATGGATGGAT